GTGACTCCATCGTGTGCAGAACAGCAGTCCTCAGGCTGTGCTGCCCTAGTGACTCCATGGTGTGTAGGACAGCAGTCCTCAGGCTGTGCCTGCCCTAGTGACTCCATGGTGTGCAGGACAGCCGTCCTCAGGCTGCGCCTAACCTTTGATTCTCCATTTTGCAAAGCAGCAGTTTGACAAGAACTACTCTATTCTGAGTTTAAGGGCAGAGGTTGAGTGACTTTACTCCTGTTTGTACAAGTAAACAACCACTGTATGCCAGGCACAACCACAAGGCACAAGTTGAAATTAAATTAATTGTGCCAATAAAAACGACCACCTGTGGACTTGTTGAATCAATCAGAAGCATATAGACGCAGGGACTTATCAAACTCCTATGGGAAAACCAGGCCCACGAGCTTATAGAACACACCAGCAAACACACCCCAGCCCCAAATGAAGCAACCTCCTCACTAGAGGCCCAGAAAAGTAGGAGCACCCCAAGACTGGACACCGTCCGTGGCCCTCGGCCCCTCACCTGGTCACTGGTCTTCAGCCTTGGCCAGGAAGATCAACGCAGTGAACAATGTCCGAATCTCTGTCCTCAGGCTTCGTTCAGCACTGCATGGCTTCTCCTGCCCAGGATCACCATGGTAGTCCCATTCCAAGCTGACCACTCAGGCTGACTCCGTGAAACTGCCCTCCATTCGGATCTTGGCCTGGAATAAGTTCCTGTGCTTTAATAGCTCTGTGCCCTGGACAAGTTCTTTGGAAGGTTCCTAATCTTATCTGGCCACCCACAGTGACCTTTGCATCTCTAGCTGATGTCCACCTTTGCTCTCAGCTCAGCCTCCTGACCCCTGTGGCTCCTTAACCCTTCCTTGGCCTTTCTATAATATGTAGATTCGTGTGCAGTATGATGTGTGTGACTTGAGGTTACAGATACTAGAAATCAGGACTGGAATAAAGGAGCCTGTGGTTGCGGCTTATGACACCAGGTGACCCACACGAATTCAGTGAACTGCCACTAGTGAAAGTGGCAGAGCATGGTAGTTGGTGTTACTTAGTAAGACCTGACACTTGGAGGGACGCCCAGGTGCTCCGTCCATGTCAATGACATAGCACTTCCAGGTTCAGGACAGGTTTGTCACAGAAGCCCCTGGAAGCCCGGGGAAGACCTTGAGCCCTGCTGGGTTCCTGAGCAGAGGGGGTGCCAGGACCCGCTCCCTGGCCCTTCCTCTGTCTCTGGGTTGTGTCTGTCTTAACTCAGAAGCAGAGTCTCGGACACCAGTGGAATCACCCAACACGTTTTCCCCTGGTATTCATGGTGTGAATCTAATAAGAGTCTTGGCCACATGTCAACAGGATTAGAGGAGATTCACCTCCTTGTAAGGCAGTAGCAATTTACCTGTACCCGCCCTCTCTTATCAGCAGGTAAATTGTTTCCAGCAAATCTAAGCAAAACGTGAGCATATACAACCCCACAGCAGTTTTGAAAACATGGGCAGGTGCCACAGAAGAAATTTACAGAAGTGGAATTGCTGAGTAGGCCCATGTCAACGCTCGACTTGGACCAGTGACCAGTCGGCCTCTGAAGGTCACGCTGACTTACTCCAGGCCAACGGGCTGGGCAGGGTGACGCCCATCAGCAGCACCTTCAAGCCAGCCACTCCACTATGTGAAAAGAGGTAGCCGCTTGCTTACTTCACATTGTCTTAATTACAGGCAAGACCGAGCGTCCATTTCTATGTGTAAGTCATTTGGATTTTCTGTTCCTGTAAATGGTTTTTAATATTTTTCACTTATTATTTTCTTTCTCATTAACTTCTAAATGTTTGTTGCTTGTTAAAAACCAGCACCCAGTCCGTTTCTTTTTGCTGATGGCATCGTGGCCATGTACAGATTTTTTTAAGCTAGCTTATTAACACGTAATGGCATGTTGTTGGTCATGCTTAGGAAAACTTCTCCAGACATCTTTTTTTAAATCATCTTTCCAGGGCTGGGATGGGCATGGTGCTGGGTCACTTGCCTGGTAGGTGCTAGCATAGCTCTTCGTTTAATCCCCGATACTACAAAAAATAAATAAGAAAAAATGAAATTCCTTTCAGGCCAGGTATGGTGGTGCTCAACTGTAATCCCAGCTAGGCAGAGGCAGGAGGATTGTGAGTTCCAGGGAAGCCTAGCAAGATGCATGTTCTCTCCCATTAAATTACATCCCCAGCCTCTTAGGTTGTAATTTTAAAGAACTTTCCATCTTTGATCAACATGGAATGTATGTTGGTCCATGCAGTAGTGCACGGAGACAGCTCTGCTTTTTTACAAATTGCCAGCCTTTGGCCTAGACAGACTTATTGAATAATCCAGTGCCTTTGCTACTGAGCGGTACTCACGCCACACGGGAGGAAGAGGCTTGGCCAAGATGCTCACTGCTACAGAAATGTTGAGAGGCAAATTCGGGGGAAAATAGGTTTTGTTCACGGACAGCTTTGAAGGGAGACAAACTAATTCAAGGTTCTGACCTATGCAGGTCTGAGAGGTTCTACCTGCTGATAGGTGACAGACAGCCAAGGGTAGCGGAACCGAGGTCAAATAGTTCTATAAACTGGGCCTCAGTACCAACCCCCAGCACTTTCTTTTAAAAGCAATTGCCCTGCAGCTTTGTTGGCTTAAGTCAACAGGATAGGTGACATTTCTCAGCAAATTATCTGTTATCTGCAGGGGAGATGCAGGTCCAAAAGTCTCCCCCTACCTTCTCCCTGCTGATAAGGAGAACACAACTTTCCCTGAAGGAGGGAAATT